TCAGATCGTCCATCCTTTGAGTGAGAGTGTAACGTTACAGGTCGGCCGATCTGGTTTAGTGGTTGAAGTTAACCTTTTCGACATGTTTCCGCAATGTTGTCTGGGGGTTTGGCAAAAGGAGAGTGGGACGGTGGGCGGTGCTCGGGGTGGTGACGCAAGGCGGTGACTGTGTAGTTCTGACGTCAACTTTTTACGGAAGTCACAACGGTTCGTGAAAAATAACAGCTACTTTAGGCTGTGTGCATTTTAATGTGGACTGACTGTTTTGAAACTTATATGGTAGTTACATAGCACCTAGACCTCAGTTATCATGAAAAAAGCCAGGAAATTTCAGTTTTGACAATATGGGACCTTTAAGTCCTCTGAGGCTCGGTTTCTGATGCCTTTCTGTCTGGGTTATATCCACACTGCAGTCAGTCAACTTGTGTAGTAATTCTTCAGCGAACTAGAGTAAAACTTTTAAGGAACAGAAAGAGTGATTGACGTGCCAGCATATTACCCAACAGACACAACCCAAATGGCAAAAAGCTGAAAGACGGGTGCTGTGCGTGAATGGCAGTGACTCAGTGTGTGAGTGTCTGCTAGACATGAAAGTCTGGAATGTGTCTGCACAGCCATCTGCGAGAAAACTTTAAAGCACTCAGCCGCACAGACTGTACAAATGTGTCACCGTGTCACTGTGAGATGTCAGGAAACACGAATCTGCGCTTTCATTCTCTTTTAACATTATGAATACAAAGTACCAGAAATGACCTTTCTCTGTAGCCATCAAAACATCTCAGCTTTTCATTACTGTAACAGTCAAACCTTGAACATCTGTCTCTCTGCCTTGTTTGCGTCTCATTAGCTCCCAAAAGTCCCCACCTACATTCAAACTCCTCATTTCCCAGAAGCAAGTGCATTAGACACCAACAAAACAGGCACACTTATTAGTTAATAGTAACAAAAAGATAAAATCACAAACAAGCTGGCTCTCAGGTTGCCATGACAACTGGTTGCTGTGGTGTACGGCAGCACTCGTGTCAGACGCTCACAAAGTTAGAGAGGGATCCAGCTGAGCGGGATGAAGAGTCACGTCTGGCATGTAAAATATTTCAGACACTCTAATTGAAATATGATAAAAGTTACTGACTAGGGCTGCACGATTAATCGCATGCGATATTTAACGCGCATCTTATCAGTAAAGCCGGTTCTGTAATCAGCGGTAAATCTCCATCACCTGCGTGCTTTCACATTGAGCAGCATTAACTACACAGAGCCGTTGTTCACTGATGAGCTGCGCAAAACCACGTTCATATTTGCGCGATTTTTTGCGCTGCTCATCAGTGAACAACGGCTCTGTGTAGTTAATGCTGCTCAATGTGAAAGCACGCAGGTGATGGAGATTTA